CCCACGCAAGCCCCCCTGCCTCCCACAGCTTTCTTCCCCCCTAAACACCCTGTTGGCAGAAGAGCCCGCGAGGTCCTGGGCACCAGCACAGCCCTTTTCCTCAGCCACACCCTGGGATGTACATAGAAGGGTTGCAAAGATGGCCCACAACATACAACCACCTTGCAACATTTCATCCAACAGCCAAAATTTTAAAAAAATCAAAAATTATACATAAATCGTGTAAATGTTTCCTTTTTAATCCTTATTCTTTAAAAGTATGCTTTTTCTTTCATAAACATACGCAGAGGAAGATGATCAAGAGAATCCCGTGCCTTTAAAAACAAGATAATCTCCCATATCAGGTTGTCACTCTCTTCTGCAAATAACAGTATTTCCATATCCTTCACAATCCTGCAGTACGTTCATTGCCGACAGTAGCAGCCTTTCACCTCCCGTTTTCATTTACGCACCTAATTCTATTCAAGTTAAAATTAATCACGTAAAAAAAATATAAAAAGTTTATAATACAAAAAAAATTATACAACGTAAAAAAAAAATCTCATAAAAATTGAGACAGACTATACAGACAAGAGTGAAGAAGAAATTCCCAGGGAAAATCCAAAGCTGCCTGGAGTTAATAGTGGTGCTCCCGTGAAACCAGTCTCCGGGTTTTTAGAAAACAGAACCACAGCTTAACAAGGACTGAATGTACATGAGTATATACAGTAATTATGTATATATACAGTGATTATGCAAAGGAATTTATCTGCAAGTTTAGCATTACTCTTCCCTGATCTTGGGCATCTGTGAGAAATACAAGGTACCTCATGATTTTGGCAGTTCAATTTTTTTTTTAAGGGGACAAAAGTTGCTGCGTAACTTTTCTCCCCGTCTTTCCCTGATGCAAATAAAAACATTTCCAGATAAGGATCATATACCTGAACAAGGTAAACTGGTTTCTTCCAGTGTTCATGTCTTTTAGGACTTGCTAAAATGAGACAACGCTGGCCGGCAGTGTTGGGTTTCCCCGGACGTGAAGCCCGGCACTCCCGGCCACGATGCCGGGATCCACCGTGTGAGTAATTGCTCCTGAAAGTCTTACGTGTGGCTTATATCCACACAAAATTTCATTCACATTTCTTGCAAAGATCCTGCCTAAACTTTCCGCTGAGTGATGATGCCATGCATCTTCCTTCCCAAATCTCAGCGGGATCCCGGGGCAGCTCCTGTGGCAGCTCCCACTGCGCTCCTTCCAGCTGCGGCTTCAGCACCGAGCCGAGAAACCTGACGAGAGGAACATGCACAAACATCCACAGATTATCTGACCTCTACCAGTTATTGCAGTATTCAGGTTGAATAATAAGTATCTTAAAAGTCTACAAGACAGCACAGAGAGGTTTGGGAGGGTCAGACGAGAGCGGGAGCATGAGCTCTGCCCTTGGAAGCCAGGCTGCTTTTAGGAAGAGCTAAGAGCAAAGCTTTGCCTGTTTCAAAAAAAAAAAATTTTTTTTGAGAAAGGTTTCCCTTGGCTGGCTGGGTTCTCAGCCCACTGAACAACTTCAGCACCTGCAGGTTGAACTGAACATAAGGAATCCCCCAGAAACCAGCAGTGCAGGACGGAACCGCTAAGCCATCCATCTGGGGAAGGTGTTAATAAAGTGTTCCTAAAATACGCAAGAGGAAAACACCAAACATCTTTTCTTTGGACATATAGAATGCTGACTGGTTTGGCCATGACGGCCAGGTCATGCTGAGAGTACTCTCAACACAGTCAGGGCAAAAATATTACTAATTTTATATCAGTTTCTGAAGGGAAGTATAAAAATGCCACAAGAAAGAAAGTCATTGCTCATCTCAGAAGGGAGACAATTTTTGACCTACGTAGTAAAACACATACTGGGCATTTCGTAAACTCTCTGATGTGAGTTCTTAAAATATATCTGAAACACAATGATGTAATTCAATAAATCCAACTGGAAGACAATACCTTGCAGGGTTTGCAGTATCTCGTAGGATGCTTTTTCACGGAGAGTGCCGTACAAAGCTTCTGCTGTCCCATTGCTTCGCTCTCTGTCTCTCCACTTGTTTAACACCAGGAATTTTTGCATGTTAACTTCATCCTCCGTTGCCTGAATCTGCTCAATGTCTTTCATTTCCACCTGAAGACACTCAATGGCAATTTCTTTCCACTGACGACCAAACAGCTTTGCGATCACCATCAGCTGCTGATCAGTTAAGATTTTTGTTTCGATTCCATCTGAAAAGACACAGAAAAAAAATCAGATTTAACCTTGCACTTCCCATTAGACTTCTAACTAAATGACCCTATGAGTTCTGTGCGTGGCCAGGGACATATGATGAAGGTGATCTTGTTGTTCCAACTATCCAGCAAGGTCAGAGCCAAGTGCTGGAGAAAAGCACCTGAAGGACTAAGAAGCCTGGCTCCTGAAGATGACAACGTCTGATTGCATGTTGGCTGCTGCAAAGGGTTTTTTTCCATTTATAAGCAGCTAGCCATCTAGTAGAAAAATTGTATGAACTGTACATTAGGTTACCGAGCATGCAGCAATTTTGAGACATGTGGCATTAAGGCCATGCTGCTCCTGGCAAGCTCAGGTGCCAGTTTTTCCTCAAAACCTACAGCTGCTCCAGATGTTTGGTTTATCTTTCATTACATGGCTCAGAACTCTCAGCCCACGCGGTCGCCAGGACTGAGCTGCCTTCCTCCTTTGGTGTCACCACTCACACATAAAACTGAGGTTCTGAGGGCCGGACGCTCTCCCTCTGCTGCCTACAGGCACCAATAAATAAATACCTACAGGGCTACTGCTGCTGAGGGGGTTTTTTATTATTATTTATTTATTATTATTT